ACAACTGTACAAGTGTAATCTAACCTTTATTTCTCCTGTATTTCTAGAAGCAATTCATTGCTCTTCTGCATTGTCTAGCCAAGATGGACCACCTAATGAATTAATTTGATTAGATGACCATGAAACTACAATGTGTTAGTCTTGGCAATAACCATTTTTTGTGCATTTGTTTTTTCCTGGATGAATTGTTAGGATGATATCCTTTGTCCCTGTAGTTATTTTGGGATGTGATGTAATTATCACAATGCCATCCATAAACAAGAGCTTCTAGAAGACCTCACCATCTTTTGTAAATTCTTCCTCCATTTAGACTCAGCTTTGAACCACCTCTTTTATGACAGAGGCAAAAATGTTTGGAAAGCGTGTATCTTTCTGTTTTAGTGTACCTGATATTCGTAACTAAATTAATGGAACTGTTATTTCTGTTGAGCCTTTTAAGGAATCTTGTATGATTTTGACATATACTCAGGATACACATTGTTAGAGGACAGCTTTTAAGACTAGGTTTTGATAAATCAATTACTTTTTTTAGTAATAAACAAAAAGTTAATATTGTGGGATCTTGTATTTTCCACACCTTTCAGTCAATTTTCCTCAAAGATGTGGTTTGTTGTATAGAACTACCTTTGAAAACTTACCTCCTCTTAGAATTTCATCAAGGATATCCTTGAAGTGTGTAGATCATTCTCATAGACATTTTATAGATATGATAAAGAAGATATATAGGTCAATAATTTCTTTCTTTTTTTAAAATTTTTTTTTATTTTAGGCAATTGGGGTTAAGTGACTTTCCCAGGGTCACACAGCTAGTGTCAAGTGTTTGGTCTGAGACTGGATTTGAACTCAGGTCCTCCTGACTTCAGGACCGGTGCTCTATCCATTGCACCACCTGGCTGCCCCCAGGTCAATAATTTCTGATGTTCTCTTGATTATATTTTTGTTACTTATAATGTCTGTAATTATTCCAAACATTTGGCATTTTCTCTTCTTTAAGGTACATAGTTTGAAATTGGTCCCTCAGTACTTGAGACAGCACCAATTGGTTTTGTGTATACTTGCTTTTGATCATGCATCGTGTGTATTCAGCTTTTCCCAATTTAAAAACCGTTTCCTTTTGTTCATAAAGTACATTGGTTACTGAAGTGTCAGAATCCAAATATGGTTGTTCAATTGTCATTGATGGTGATAATCTTGGAAATATTGAGAAATCAATTCTATTTTCATGCTTTGACCTAATTCTATTTGCACGTTTTAAGCACTCTTCAGATTTGTTTTGCCTTACACAAACCTCAAAGAAACAGAGCTTTTTTGAGGCAATACTCTTTGTCATCTTCCATGTTACTTCTCCAGTTTTACAAATCAATTTGTATTCTCAACTCATGCTACACTTTGCTGCCATTTCTCTATTCTTGGCAAAGAGATCAAGTGGTTGGAAATCTAGGTGGACTGGTCAGATTTTTAGAGGAAGGGATAACAGATGGAAAGCACAAGTAGTCTCTTGGTACCCACAAAATGCTAAAATGCCTAGAGAAAGGCTTTCAGAATATTAGGTAGATTGTCTACGGAGGATTGATGAGAGTATATAGACAAGAATCTCACAGGAGGAGAAAGCGTGAATGGGTTATAATTTGTACTGTTGGAAAGATTACTCACTTTGAAGATATCAGAGATCTATTGAAGTACTAAATTATAAATTTTAACTGAAAATCCTTTGATCATGATAAAAATATAAAAAGCTTTTTAAAAATTAGGTGTGCACCAGAATTAAACACTGATGCCAGTAAAGGGATAATCAACACTTTTTAGTGTGCTTTCTATGTGATAGGCCATGTATTTTTGTATCATGGGCACCACAAAGATCTAGTCTTTGCTCTCAGGGAAATTTTAGTCTAGTTGGCTAGGTGAAACACACACATGAGAAAAGTTGACTAACAATATAGGACAGTTAATAACACAAGGGGCAGCCTGCCTTAGTGGGCAGACAGCTAGCCTTAGAAGCAGGAAGACTTCAATGCCTAACCCTGACACATATTGACTATGTGATTCTGAGCAAGCCACTTAATTTTTAACTACTCCAGACAACCCATTAAGATTATAAATTACAGAGCAGGTGATAATATGCATTTGTAGAAGGAATTTCCTTGTTGGATGTACCCTATCCTAATAAAATTCAAGTCCCGTTACCTCCCTGTCCCCTACCCCTAAACCAGGCAAAAAAAAAAAAAAGCATATGATAGGTGCCAAAAGAATATACAAAGATATGTGTGATAGGAGTTTAGAGAAAATAAAAATCAGTCTGGCCTGAGATTGTCTGGGAAAATTTCACAGGGAAACAGGGTCTTGCACTTGAAGGTAAGGTAAAAATTAGATAGATAGGTGAAGGAAGGGCAATCCAGGGGAGGAGAATGGTACCAGGAAAGATGCAGGTGCTGTATTGATGGTAAAACATAATATTAACTTTAAAAAACCGTAAAACTGTCAATTCAAGATTCCAATCTGATTCTCCTCCAGCTAGAAACATTTGGATTTCTGATAACTTTCTCTTATTCTAAATAAATAGTGAAATGCGTTCATCTGAACATGTTCCAGATCCGCAGAAGTCATGCATTTTGGTTAGTATGTGGTTTGGATATTATGGTACAGTTGGAATGATTGTACTGTTTTGTTGGGGAGCTATCCTTAAGCATCTACCACTCTCTTTAAAACCACTTATCTGTTCAGTATGTAAGAAAGCACTGCTGTGATAATAAAGATGTTAAAGGCTGTTACCTGTCCAACCTGTCCAGTAGAGCTTTGGTGCCCAGAATAAGTAGGGATTTTGTATACAATATTCTATTTTCAACTCCTGTCCTTAATGCTCACATCTTTAAATCCCAGAGTCACAGAGATATGGTTGTTTTGTCTTCTATCTATAATATTAACCATACTTTACATAGGTGCAACTGATAGTTAATCATCAACCTTTAGGTAGAATGTTTTTTTTCCTTGTCTGCTTTTATAGGGGTGAATGGGTGAGTTTCAAAGAAACCCTAGAAATGCATTATTTTTGGGGAAAATCTATTTCTGCCCAAACTCTTTGCAGTCTGCCATCCTCTCCCACAATTTTGTTAAAGCTTCTTTCTCCTCAATGACCTCCTTATTACCAAATTAATTGGCCATTTATTCTGTCCTAATCTCTCTTGATCCCTTTTCATTTTTTCACTTTCATGATAAAGTTAGTCAGTCAGGCAAAAACCATTTAATAAGTACTTAGCACACGTCAAGACAGTGCTAAATGCTGGGGATACCAAGAAAGGATGTAGATGTATATATGTGTGTGCTCAAGCACTTTCACTCTCTTCTTACTTCTCTGACTATTCCTCCTCTATATTTATTAATGGAGCCTCATCTTCTTACCACTTAAATGTGATTGGTCACAAAGGTTCTTCTGTTTACTCCTCCCTTCCCTTCTTCTCCCCTCCCTTCTCCTCCTTACACACATTTTCTTTCTGATCTCATCCCCTGTCACAGCTAAAATAATCACCTAAATGAAAATTACTTCCAAATCTCTATAGCCCATGTGTACTCCTAATCTCTCCACAAAGCTCCAATCTCATATTCCCAAGTGTCTGCTGGATATTGCCATCTGGATATCTCACTGGCACATCAAATTCACCATTTATGAAACTTATTTGCTAATATTCTGCCCTCTTCCAAACCTGTCCCTCCCCTACCTTTCCTTTTTGTTGTTGTTTGAGCCACAATTCTTCTAATGTCTAACTTTGTAGTTCTTTGATTTTTTTTTTCACTTTGCTTGCCACCATGTCCAGACAGTTGCAAAGTCCTGGTAATTATACCTCTGTCTTACTTTTTGTATCTTATACCACTTCATTCTTTTACTACAGCTAAGTTCACATTTTTAAATGTTTTAGCTATGCCATTTTAATAGACTCCTAATTGGTCTTTTTAACTATAGATTATGTAATTCTTTCACATCTGTTCCCTTTCTCAATTCATCCTTCACATCCTTGCTTGAATAATATTTCTAATGTGCCATTCAGATACATCTCTCTTCCATTAAATAAAAGAAAGCCCTTCAGTGGTATTCATAGCATAAAGAAAAAAGGTATAAATTCTTGATTATGACATTTAAGTCCTTCAACAACCTGGCTCAAAGCTGCTCTTACCACTTTATTTGATGTTACTGCTTGTCATGTAGTTTATGTTCCATCCAAACTGGGCTACTCTCTGCCTTCTGTGTTCATCCTGTACTCTTTTCTTTCACACCTTTCATTATATTATCTCCCATGCCACCTGTCATTTTATTATTTCCCACACCTAGACTGGATCATGCTATATCCCCCAATCTCTTTTTGTGGAATCATCTCCTTTCCTTCAAGGACCTGGGGCACATGAAAAGAATCTTTTTATTCAGCTATCTAATAGCACTTTGCTTGCATTTCTCCTTTACATTCATCTCACTCTCCTATGCCTTTCCCCATTATATTGTAAGCTCCTTGAGAGAAATTAATGTTGTCTCTGTTTCTGGATCCTGATCATAGTGCATCTTTAATAAAATAGATGTTATAGGGGAGATTGCTGGACCTGGAGTCAGGAGAACGGAATTTGAATCCTGCCCAAAGCAGCTACTAGTTGTGTGACCATAGGAATCCCTAGGGCTCAGTTTCCTCATCTGAAAATGGGGATAATAATGTTTGAATTACATACTTTATAAGCATTGGGTTTTTGTGGGGAATATACATTGTAAGGTTTAAAGCAATATAAATAGCAATGTGACTTATTATTGTTGTCATCTATGACAGAAGTTTGTTGAATTGAATTGAACCAAACCTAGAATAGTACTAGCAACACAGAAAATTCCAGCCCTTTGCTTGATAGGAGGTTGAAATCTTTAAACATCCATGCAAGTAAGTATACAGATCATTTTATATCATCATTAACATGTTTAGCTTAATGCTTATCTCAGAAAAATAACTACAAGTGTATTGTGTATCACTTACGTTATGAGTTCCTTTTTGAGTTCTCTGGAATGGAGCTTGGGTTTAGGACTTGGTATGGAGACCTCCCCTGGGTATTTTTTTTCCTCTAAATTTTCTGGAGAGCTCACTGGGTCTTTCTGAAAAAAGAATACAGGTGTATCATGTGGAGGGGATTTATCTTTTGCCCAATTACATCTTTGATATGATCATTAGAGGAGAAATGTATAGGAAAAAGTAATGCATTTTGAAACAATTGAGCAGTGGTATTTCTGGGGGGATACAAGTGATGAATTCTTTTTTTTTCCCTCTAGAAGTCATGGGGGTAATAAATTATATTGACTAAATTTTTTTAGAGTTCCTGGAGAATATAGGAACAGTAATGATATACTCTCATACAGCCATTACTAAAACAAAGTTTTAATTCTCTAAAAACTAAATGTGGAATTTAAGCCAGGATTATGTTGAAGAAAGAGCACAGTACTTGTGTCAGTAGAGTTTGAACCCTGGCTTGACACCTGAGTGGTGTGGTTGGGGACAAGTGACTTAAACTTTTGGAATCTATTTCATTATCTGCATAATGGATAATACTTGCACAGCCTATCTAAAGGTTGTTGCAAGGAAAGAAATTATCTTATTATATTACCTAGACCTTGGGTCTACAATGGGCTCTCTGCCTGTTGAAATCCTACCTATGCTATGAGACCTATTTCACATGACACCTCCTCCACGAAGCTTCTTCTGATAGACACAGTCAGAAATGTCCTCCCCACCTCTCCTTGGACATACTATAACAACCCATTATTCTTACCGTACTCTGCTTTCTCTTTTAGAATTATTGTATAGTTATTATAAGGTTTTTTGTATAGATATATGTGCTTGGTTATCTTATTTCCCCTGCTATATTTGAACTCATAAGAGGCTATGCATTCACTGTCTTTGCATCTCCTGCAGTGCCTGGCATGTTGCTTTGAATATAATAAACACCTAAAAGATGGTTGTTAAATGAACTATTAAACCATGTAGAAATTAGTTATTTTTTATTATAATTATCAATAATTCAGGTCAACTCTATACTTTTTCTAAATCCACATAGATAGGGACCCATGTTTCTATTGATTTAAAATGTTCTAATGGCCAATGCTGATGTGGGTCTGGATTCTTGTTTTTATTTTTTAGATAATTTTTTAGATAATTTTTTCAATCCTTCACTTTATTGCTCCCCATCCCCCTTCTGTGCTTTTAAAAGAGAGATGTGAATTGCCAATTCTCTAATAAAGAAGATTTTTTTACTTTCTATTTCAATATTGAATGTTTCATGTTACAATATAATCACAAAACCCCATCATTATATTCTCGATTGTACAGTCAAGTAGTAAGTATCTTTAACATGACCTGTTCATTTGTAGATAAAAATGTAAAGCTTACCATCTGTTGTTTTACAGCAGAGTTTCTCTATGTGTTACAGAGGGGGATTTAAAAGTAACCTATTAATTATAAAAGTTTAAGTTGATTTTTTGAAAATGAGTATAAAATGATATTAAAAGAAATATGAAACATATATAAGCCTTCTTATTTCTTGAAAGAAAAAGCTAATGTTTCAATGGCCATCTGTACTGGAACATTTGTAATATGTAATAATCTTTTGAACCACTCACGCTTGTGTATGAGATTGTGTTCAGAAATAACCAAACTTTCTCCATCTTCTTTGTTTAACACACTGTCCTAGGAAATTTATATATATATATATATAAACTATATATATATAGTATATAGTTTAGGATTTAGGTGCCCTATACTTAGTACAGTTGGGAGAAGGATAGGCTAAATTTTAGTCAAGAGGAGCATTCAATATTAGTTTCCCAAATGACTAAGGTTAAAAGAACTCATAATCTGTGTAATAAAAATTAAAATATATGGCATGATTTTTTAAAAAAAGCCTTTGGATGTGTGAGAAAGAATATATATGTTTGTGTGTGTGTTTTCCAGGGAGAATGTGTGTGCAATGAAATTCCATTAATGTACAGATGGAAGTTTATATTGATTTTAGCAAAGACCAGAACATAATGGTAACATGAATAACAGATAATAGCATCTGGCACTTTTAACATTTTTTAAGCCCTGAAATCTTTGGAGAACTGACAGTTGAACTAAATTGACAGTCCTAGTTATTTCTCAATGCTTTCCTTTCAGAGATATTTTGATATTTTTCCAGATTCAGGATTTTTTTTTAGGGGGCATCTGGACAGGCTATTTCACTGAGAGAGACAGACAATATTTTCTGGAAATTACCACCAAAATTAAGCAACTGTTGTGCATATGAACTAGATAACAATGAATTAGAAATAGATATAATCACTTGGTTTCTTTGCTTGGCCACCGAGGATGGGAGCAAGAAAGAGAGAACCTTTTAGTCTTCAACTTGCAAAACACAGACGGCAGTTAAGCCTAACTTGTTGCCAGAATTTCTTGGTAAAAATGAAAAATTTCACCAGTCAGCAGTTTTTTGTGGCAGGATGACTGCTGGTCTGGGTATTAGAAGGACTTGGGTTAGAGTTCTGACTCTGACATTTGTTACCTGTGTGACCCTGGCAAAATCATTGAAATGATCTCAGTCTTAGTTTCTCCATCTATACATGGGCATAATAAACATGTATTACCTAGCTCATAGACTTGCTGAGATGGAAACCTTCTCTTACAGAAATGTAAACTATTATTTTCTGGATATTTTATTTACATGCTATTAATCATTTAATCACAAATATTTATTTGGAGCCTATTATGTGCCACAAATGGTACTAGGCCCATGGGATAAAAATCCAAAAAAAAATTTTTTTAACAGTCTCTCTCCTCAAGGAGCTCATTTGATTGTTTGATGTAATTGAGACCAATATTAGCCAAGCTATGATCTTAGTGCTTCTTCCTGACATCTGCGATAATTACTATACTTCCTCTAACACGAACACCGCAACTACATTTTTCTTGCTTCTCTTTCTCCTTCCCTGTTCTTTTATTCTTTTCTTCCCTCTCCCTTTTATCTTCTTTTCTCCTTTCTTTGCTGTGGGCCTACACTCCTGCGAATCTACAGCTATTGCTTAAATCTCCTAGTGACTGACCCTTTTTGAAAACAAATCACCTGGATAATTGAATTCTTTTTCTTCTTCCCCCAGAGGTTTTTGTGTCTTGTGGTGATTTGAAAACCCCATATTATATCCCTATTATTCAGGATTAAAGTAATTTGTAGCAGAGAACAAAAAGTTTCTATATACATGTCACCAAGTTATTTTCTGAATCTTCATCTATACACTTGTCTTTAATATTCCATGCCTTATTCTTATATTTCACATGCAATGAAGGCCAATTAGCTGCAAAGGGTCATCCCAGTGAGCCTGAGCCCAAAACTTCCCTGGAAACATTCAAAGACTTCAAGGACATCATGACCTATTCCTCCAGCCTTTTGGGAATAACCAGCTTCCTGGTAACTTAGACCCAATGAGTATGAGAAAGGGTAAATGAATCCCCTTAATAGAGAAAGAGTCTCTTCAATATTCAATCCAATCCAAACTTCATGCCTAGGTACAGAACAGGGAGTGGCATAGTACCCTACTGCCTGTGGTGGGCTAAGCTGAGTAGTTCCTCAATACTAGGCAGATAAAGGAACACATGATAAAAAAAAAAACAAAACCAAAAAATAAAAAACAAGTGTTCAAGTAGCAACTGGCTGACCACTCATCAGAGATGTGAGGAAATGAGTATAAGGAAGGTGTTTGAGCTAGATGGCTTCTATGAGTCCTTCCAAATAAAGAATTCCATTGCTGAGGTCTGGGTCATTTTGTAGTTTGAGTTAATATCAAGAAAATGAATGACGTCCTACTGTGCACCTCATGTGGTGAAGCGGTGCAATAGAGAGAGTGCTGGGCCTGAAATCAGGAAGACCTGAGTTCAAATCTGGCCTCAGACACATACCAAATGTGTGACCTTGGGCAAGTCACTTAACTTCTGTTTGCCTCAGTTTCCTGAACTGTAAAGTGGGGATAATAACATCACCTACCTCCCAGGGTTGTTATGAGGCTCAAATGAGATAATATTTGTAAAGTGCTTGTCACATAGTGCCTGGCACATTGTAGGTACTCTGTAAGTATTAGCTATCATCATTACAGGATCCTAAGGGAAATCACAGAGTCACAGAGTTTTAGAGTTGGAATGAACCTCAACAGCCTCCTAGTCCCTCCCATGCTCAAAAAGGAATCCCCACAAAAATGGGCTTGATAAGTAGTCTCCCAGGCTCTACTTGAAGCCTCCTAATGATGGGAGCTGTTTGTGATATCAAGCCTTAATTGGATTCTTTGTGACCCTTCATTCATCGATCCTGGTCCTCCCTTCTGAGCTCCAAGAGAACATTTAATTTCTCTTCAATGACAGTCCTTCAGGTACTCGAAGGCAACTACTGTGTGTTCTTGAGTATTTTCTTCTGCAGGCCAAACATCCTCAGTTCCTTCACAAAACCATCATGTGGCATGGGCTTCTATGCCAGGCTGGTTGCCCTTAGCTGGATACACTTGAGTCAATCAATGGCCTTCTTCAACTGTGGCACTGAATTTGAGCACAATATTCTAGAGAGGATCTAACCAGAGCAATATACAGTAGAACCACCATTTCCTTATTTCTGAAAGCTATAACTCTCTTACTGCATCCCAATTTGTTTTATTTTTCTTTTAACTGTCACATCATAGTGTTGACTCATAGTGTAGCATTTTCAGTTCACTAAAACTCTCATAGGAAGTGGTAGAGTGGAAAGAGAGCTAGATTTGAAGTCATAGGAACTCGATTCAAATCCTGACTACTACTCAATATCTATGTGACCTTGGGGAACTCATTGGACCTTTCCTTGAAAGGTCCTTGAAATAAGGAGATTGGGCTAAAACACTTTCCAGCTCTAAATCTATGATGTTACGGACCTTTATTTACCACTTTTTAAGTGGATGTAATTGAATATAACTTACTTCTTAATAGTGATGCTTTTCAGGCACTATGTTTACTGTACAGAATAATATATATCATGTATACTGTATAAGTATAAAAGTATAGATATATTTATTAATATATACTCAGTATGTATATATACTCCCATTATATGTAAATATATATGTATACATATACACCTACATATATACATACCCACTTCTGGGCTAGTATCTTAATGTAGATTGCTTTTGTATCCCCAGTGTCTAGCCCAATATCTGGCAAATCATAGACTCATAATATGTGCTTGTTGAATAAATGGATAAAGAATGGAGCATCTAAGGAGGTAACAAGCTGGTTAAGGTGTCACAATGGTGGAAGGAAAGGAAATAAGCAATTATGTGGTGTAGGCAATGTGCTAAATGCTTTACAAATATTGTCTTTATTTGATAAAAAAAAAATGGAGGCATTCCAGTTTGCTCCTATGGATATTTTGTTCATCTTAGTCTTTCCTAAAACAGAGAATCATGAGGGTCCAGTTAAATTTTATTATAGTCTATCAGGTTCCTTCCACTTTCAATTTTTTTTTATTCTATCACCCATAATGTGCATATAAGAAATCACTATGCCAAAGTTTTTTTTTTTATCATTATATGTTGTTAAATTACTAAAATCTAAGGACTCTTCCAAAACTTTATAAGCTTTCTCTTGGCAGATGATGCATTTCTTTACATCTTCCGAATATTTTCATAGTTTGTATGTCTGTTATATTTGAAAGAAAAACTCAAATCTGTGATAGTATGTGTTTGTGTATGATTGTGTGTATGTATATACACAATACATATATGCAAATACATATTTATACAAATACATATCTACACAAATGCACATACACATACGTGTGGTTTAGAGCATAAAAATTGAGATTATTTAAAAATTAACACTATATATTCATCTTCTCAACTACTAATCTTACAAATATGTGCCATTCATCACAAGAAGGAATTGTTCAGGCCAGCTTATTGCCAGTATTATAAAAATCCCTGATCATGTTATAAAAAGGGTAATGCTTTTTAAAAGTTATATTTATTTATTTTTTTTTTATTATGGGATATAACGAAAGCTAGAATTCATATAGTGCCTACTATGGGCCAGGTGCTTTACAAATATTATTTCTTACAACAATACCAGGAGAGAAATACTATTAATATCCTCATTTTACAGTTGAGGAAACTGAGGCAAACTCAGATCAAGTGACTTGCTCAAGGTCACATAACTAGTAAGTGTCTGAGGCTGGATTTGAACTTGGGTTGTCCTGACTCCAGGCCAAGCACTTTATTCACTGCACTATTTAGATAATTAATGGATCCCCAATGTGCTCCATCACCATGCTAAGAGATTTGGAAGAAAATTCTCAGCAAATTGGGTTGATAGAGTACAGGACTGAGCTAAAAGTCTTTTAGCTCTAGAATCACATTCAGTATCCTAAGTTTAAATTTGAAGCTTCCAGCAGAATTTCGTAGTCTATCCCTTGCCTAAAGATGCATTATCCCCATGGACTTGTAGAATTCTTTTTTCTTTGGAGATCTTAACCACTGCAGCACCTGGTTCAGCAGAGTTTAGATCTATGCTTATATCTTTATTAGCTTCAATAACTAGGAAAAGATGGTACCTCTCCAGGCTTAATTTCCCCATCTCCTTTGTCACCTCTGGTTCTCTTTGTAAACCTTATAGTGCTAATTTATAAATGTAAGTTATTATTATTATTTATTCACCATTCTGGTCATTCTACACTATATCCTTTCCAGTTTTTCGGTGCGTTTAATCCAATCAAAATATCTATTGGTTCAAATTTGACACCTCATTATGGGTGACTGTGATGAAGCAATACTGATTCTTTTTCATGGGTAAATCATCTCAAACCAGGGGAATTTGAAGAACTAAATTTTCAGCATGAACATAATATCTCTATTTAAGGCTTAAAAGGAATAAATCCATGATGAAAACCAAATCCACACAAACAAGTCTTGCTTTACTCTTTGCAATTCATCAAGCAATGAAGAGAAGGGAATTCAAAAGATGAGAAATCTTTGATACAGATGGTGTACTGACAAATTCGGTGTACAGCTAGTGTTAAGAGTTGTATATATGTAACTTAATGGTAATGAAGAAGGATAGACATTACATTTCTAGTAACCAGGTCCTTAGAAACAGAGAGGATTCTACTTATCACTTCTTTGAATTACATTGGGTCATTAGTTAGAAAACCCAAGTTAATCCTTGCTGCTTGCTATAGATTCTGGCTGAATTTCCATGACATATAGACATTGGTCAGAACTTTCAGGAGTTAGACTAGACTATAGGAACTAAGTATGTAGCTCCTTCTGAACTACAGAAAGAATAGGCTTCGTCAGAGGTTACCGTGATTTCTATGTATTTTTTACTGTATGGTTGCAATATATTTAAGGTAGTTGACATTCATCATTTGACACTTGAAATGATTAGCATCTATTTACTTGTGCACATTTGCGTTTCTGTCATAAATATGAGGAAATGAATTTGACATGACTTGAAGATTCTTAGTTATCCCTGGTTTTATTTCATCCTTTCTCTTCTGGGTCAGAAAGAATGAGTAGGCTAACATTTCGATATACAGTGATGCATTAGCCCCATACTGCTTGCTGAATCTTGAAAGGATAGATAATATAATTGCTTGAGCAGTGCACATAGTTGCATCCATAATGGGTATAAAATTTGATCTAATGACATATTATTTTGGGCAACTGGCAGGAAAAGGAGGATTCATTTGCACATTCTTTCTGTAATCTAAGATAATCATTTCCCTCCACCCACCCCCCAAATTTGAAACAAGGTCTAGAGGTCTTATCTACATTTAAAAATGAGATTATATATGTGCATATATGTACATATATGTGTGTATGTGTATATATATATATATATATATATATATGAAATCGAGGAACAAAAACTGAACACTCTTAATGTAGGACGCATCTTGAACTTCACTGACAAGATTGAAAAACTACCTCTTTTTCCTCTTCTTTCTTCCCATGAGTCTTGCTGTAGTTGATAGGTGTGTCCCAACCCTCCTGCTCACAGAGGGCCTGGTAGAAGGCAGCATTTACCAAAAGGCTTCTTGTTTTGAATGGGGAAGACGAAGAAGTTGGAATCGAAATATGAGGAGAAGTTAGAGGTGTGGCCTTGTCCAGGATTCGATTTTTTTTCATGCTTAAGTCCAAAGTGCCATTTTCATCCACTTGTATCTCAGCTACCTGATAGGAAACAGAAAAAAATATTTAAGCAACAGTCTGTGATTTTAGGCTTCTCATGTGAAGCTTTTAAGGGATAAATTTAAATGCAAGCTTTTATTTAAATGTATCTGATTTTAAATCCAGATTTTAGATTTGTATCAGCTAATGTTTAATTCTTAGGCAGACCTAAGAGTAGGTATAATAATGCTCTTTGTTTTTTAAAGCCATAAACAAAGTAAGTCCAATATTGATATTTTCTTTGAAAATTTAATGTTTATTTTAAAGTATCAATTTTAAAGTATATTATTGTATTTTATAATACTTTCATATTTTTAATATTTTAAAGTTATTTCAAAGTGTAAATCAATGGGCTAAATGTAAGTTCTTTTTCTTAGCTTTAGATTTAAATTTTCTTGACACATTCTTGAAGAGAACCATGACTACCACAATTTATAGTTAAAACCTTCAGTGCTCTGGTGTATCAAGAGTTATGTCAAATTGTTCAATTCCCCAAATATTGTAATATTTGTCTTAGTGGTAAAATGTGCAAAGACAAATGGTAGAGGAAAATGTTCTGATGTTCTAATTAGATGAAGATGAAAGTGTCCTTTTACCACTTTCTGTTATGTGAATTGGGGAAGAATTTTTAAATTGTGAAAGTGAGTGAATGGTAACTGAACTTTAGTGTGACATTTAGTTGTATGATGGTGTCTTTCCTTATAGAAGAGGCAAGTCAGTGCCCATACTTCTTTGGCGCATAAGCTTTATAACAACAACTTCAGGCTAGAGAGTTTTCATGTACTTCTGAGTTTATATGCCACAGTGTACCCTCATCCATCTTTGGGGTGCCATTAGCCAAATTACTCAGGAAACAATTACATTTTGCTTTTGTTTCACAGTCTGGTACACTGTTGAAGAAATTAAATTAATACTGCTTTGATTCCTAAAGTTACTTTTGTATTTCCTGGAGTTGAGCTCAGGAATTTAGCTTTCCCTCTGAGTTAGTTTAAAGTTATTATTTAAAAAAATGTTATCTCTCATACCATAGCCCTTGAATACTTCTAGGATATGTTTGTTATCTTTAAGCCCCACAGGTTGACCTGGTACCATTCTCAAAAGATATATTGTCTATCCTTGCCTGTCCTTGTACAATTAGGGGATTTTATTTTTTAATCTCTTCCAAGGAGACAGCAAGTTTTAGCTTTAGCTTTAGCAAAGATTACAAGATGTAGATGGGGTTTCAAATTAACATTCCTTAATTATTGGAGAAGGGTGGTGATTAGCCTCAGGTGAATGCCAGCCCATATTTCTAAGTATAGTCAATCATAATGTTCCTGTTCCAACCTTACAATCTATTACTTTTTCTCTATGTCTACCAAGACATCTTCTTTGGAGACAAATATTGTAATATTTGGGGAATTGAACAATTAAACACAACTCTTGTTGTGTGTTAATAAAGAAGGTCCCCTCCTCGTTTCTTTTTTAAAAAGTTATATATTGCTGTTAATAAACTGATTTTGCTCAGAGCTCTTAGTTTACCTTTATCAATTTTATTTGCCACACTGTCTGTACTCTGTAGTTTTCAACCAGATAACTGAAGTCTGATTCTGTAAACTAGGAGCTTTTAACCTGAGGTTTATGAATTTGAAAAAAAAATATGTCAATAGCTAAAATTCAATACAATTAGCTTTCTTTGTAACTATGTAATTTATTTTATACATTTAAAAACATTATTCTCAGGAGTCCGTACGCTTCAACAGACTGCCAAAGGGGTCTATGCCACAAAAAAGGTAAGCATTCCTGGTTGTGAACACACAGTACAATAACTTTCACGATGTGTTAAGAAGAACACTCTTGTCACTTTTATAATTGGTCCAAATTAACACCTTTCTGACACCATCCATCAATTCACAATTAGCCTCTTCTCTGAATAATCTTTATACTCTTTTCTTTTGGCTGGCAAAGCTGGAGTCTTTCATGAATCTTTTAGCAAGATACTAAAGCATGTGGTAGCCAGTTACATCCCCTGGGGGATTTAATATATTCCCCCACAATTGCCATCCATGGGTGTAAGAGGTACACTTGCCTAGTTCCATTGGCCAGCTGTTTGTGTGTAATTTTGAACTGAAAGCCCCAACTTGTCCTTGCTTCTTGTGCCTGGCAGAGTTTGTGCTTTCAATCTCTCAGCTTAAAAGATAGATATGCTTTATTGTATTTATGGGAAGTAAATACAATTCTAATATGTTTGAACTAAGATGCTTTGGCTATATCTTTCTGTCCCCTTTTAGTAAATAGTTTAATCTCCTGTGATAGTTTTAAGCCCTGAATTTGACAGTACAGCTTATCCCAGATAATAACTTAGTAACCACAACATCTTACGCCATCTGTATAATATCAAATACACTTTTTAGACCAGCATTAATAAACCTCAGTTACAAAAATCCAAGATATTAACTATATCGGTGCCAAGTGCCCTCTCCAGGATATGACAATTTTGCCTTGCCATGGCTGCATCAGTGTTTTTTTGGCTCCACAGTTGATATGTAACTATAGCAATGAAACAGAGCTACAGTAATCAAGTTTAATGACCAATGTAAAGTAAAATGCTAAATATTGTAGTTGCTGACATTTTTCATAATAAAAAAACTTGGGTTAAGACTGCACAACCGACATTCACATAAAATTCCAGACCTCTGTGACAGATGGCTTAGGAAAGGAAGCCATGTGACTGGGCTGCAGTAGTTTTATAGTGCAAAACCCATAAATAGTGCAGATTCTCTTTCACTGAAAAAATATCAACTACTCCAAGGCAACATCAAAAAAAATGGCACAAAGCAAAAAAAAAATTAAAAACCAGAAAAAAATCAAATTCCACAATTATTAAATCCTAACAGGGTTCATAGACTCCCAATGGGAAGATTTTACACCTTCAATCACCAGGATGGATTGGAAGGATGGGGGATGGGAACAACTAGCATCCAGAAAACTCATAGAAGGATTAAAAGCCATGTTTCATGTAGTTTTCTAAATTTCACACTGAAGTTGGGCCTTTCATAGAACACCTAATTCTGACTGGGAAAATACATGGGTCGTACATTTGTAAAGCAGTGTACAGATGGGCTTTAAGTGAGCGCACAGATGCATTCAACAATTAAGCATAGTCAGAGAAAAATATCCTTTCTGCCCATAGAAGGATGGATCACACGTTTACAGCATGGCTTTTTATTCAGGGCAGTATCAATATCCATCACGTTGCTTTGTGTAGTTCAAACTCCAAATGTCAGTACAAAAAAGAAAAGAAGAAAATGGCTTTTTCTGATATTGATTCACTTTGCCCATCCCAAATCTCACAGAATCTAAGCTGGATGGTAGAGACCATCTAGTTCAATCTTTCCTTAATGACATCCTCTTATACAAGGCCTCTGAAGAGAAGGTATGTTGATTCACTATTGGTGAAGGTGTGAATTACTTCAACTGTTTTGGAAAAATTACTTGGAATTATGCAACAAAAGTTACCAGATTCATAACCTTTGCCCCCAAAATTGTACAACTGGGACCATAGCCCCAAAATGTTACTCAGAGCAAGAAAAACAAACCCACATGGACAAAGATGTTCATTGTAGTAGTTCCCAAAAGTTGGAAGCAAATTATGTACCTAATGATTGGGGAATGGTTGAACAAATTATGGTATATCAATGAAATGGAATAGTACTGTACTATAAGGAATGGATAATATGATGAATTCAAAGAAGTGGCTGGATGTGCTATTTAGTTTCATTTCTTAGGCATTTGTTCTGAAACTTACTGTAAATCACATTATGGGCTTTTTGAGGCTAGAGATCATACCTTCTACTTTTTGGTTAAATTCCAAAACAACACAATGCCTTAAGATCTCAAGAAATATTTGTTGAATAAAGAAATGAATTATAAAGCTAGGAGCTCAAAAACTCATTTAAATTTGAATAAAGGTTTTTTTAAAGCAAAAATTTACCTTGGCATCTGATCTAGCTAGTCATGAAAAATAAAATTTTAAGATGAAATATTGATACCCCCGAAAGGCTTGAAGTCAAAGCTCTTATACTGACTTGTTCAACAGTCAACAGGTAGCAAATACCCATAACATTTACAGCAAAATACGCATCAAGTCTTGAATTTACTGTGGCTAAATAGAGGAGGAACAAATGACTAAAATTGAAGTTTAAAATTAGAATGCTCTACATGGCCCACAAGTTTGCCTGGGAATCTGAATCATATTATATGAAACCTCTTTAAATGATTCTATTTGGTCTTTGAATAACAAATGACAAGCTACTTTGTGCTATTGTCCAGGGGATAAAATGAAAGTCAGTGAACATTTGGTTTTCCTCCATAGTTGTCATTTGTTTTCCTGTGATTCTTGACCCAGAGACCTTTTCCTCTGCTTTCTGATAATATTTTCCTGACAATAAATGGGGCCATTCTGCCATTGCGTTAGAACTATGGAGGGAGTATGCATTTTGATTCTAATAATTGAGACAGCCACTGGCTTATTTCTCTTAGCAGGGAGGAAAGAGGGAGATATGACATCATTTTTGTTTTCAGGTCTTGTTCAAGCACAAAACAGACTTTGAACTTTAAACATTTCATGCAAGTGTCAATTTTTTGTTTTCTTTGAAGGCACACTGTGCATATGCCATTTTGTCTAAACAGGTGGGGAAAACACCAAAACATTAAACAGAATGCTTGGCAAGCAACAGTGATGGGGATAAAGATAGACTGTGAAGCTTGTTCCTACCTCTGTGGATAAGGGTAGGAGGAGGGATGTAAAATGGGGGATATCTCTGACATGTGTTGGCAGGAGCTTTCACTGGGAGAGAGCAAGGCTCTCTGCAAACAACTCCGCTGAGAGATGGTAATTCAATGACCTAGTGCCAGTTTGTGCTGAACATTATGACTATCATACCCTGTGTTACCTAGGTTAAGGATGTGGCATTCCAAACACTAGTCTCAGAGTAATCCCAAGACCTCTCTCCAGTAAAGAT